ACATATATACATATACATATACATATACATATACATATACATATACATATACATACATACATACATACATACATACATACATACACACATACACATAAGTCAACGCTTCGTACTGCAATTGGCATATGACCCGCCCTATCCCCCATCCGAAGTACGAGCCCATACCATCCCAACCCGAGTGGTATCCGCCCCCCCCCGCCGTCCGCTGCAAAACAATATACGCGCGCAACGGTTTATCAAAAGCCATACGTTTTCAAAAATCCATTGAGAGGGGGAAACACACAACAACAACAACAACAACAACAACAACAACAACAACAACAACAACAACAACAACAACAACAACAACAACAACAACAACAAATTAGCCTGGCGACGGGCCCAACCATATGCAGTTGTGAGTACCGCAGTTGTGAATACCATCCTCGGTGGAGCTCCTTATGGGGCCACGAACTGTGCGAGGAGCCTGCCACAGTGGTGGTGGTGGGGGAACCGCATGCGGGCACCCCCACTGGGGCCCCCTATGGGGCCACGAAACGCTGCCCTGGGTGGGAAAACCGCATGCGGGCACCCCCACTGGGGCTTACGGTGGAGCTCCTTATGGGGCTACGAAACGCTGCCCTGGGCAGGGGGAACCGCATGCGGGCACCCCCACTGGGGCCTTCGTTGGAGCTCCCTGTGGGGCCACGAAACGCTGCCCTGGGCGCATGCGGGCACCCCCACTGGGGCCTTCGGTGGAGCTCCTTATGGGGGCACGAAACGCTGCCCTGGGTGAGGGAACCGCATGCGGGCACCCCCACTGGGACCTACAGTGGAGCTCCTAATGAGGCCACGAAACGCTGCCCTGGGTGGGGGAACCGCATGCGGGCACCCCCACTGGTGCCTACGGTGGAGCTCCCTGTGGGGCCACGAAACGCTGCCCTGGGCGGGGGAACAGCCTGCGGGCACCCCCAGTGTGGACTTCGGTGGAGCGCCCTATGGGGCTACGAAACGCTGCCCTGGGTGGGGGAACCGCATGCGGGCACCCCCACTGGGACCTACAGTGGAGCTCATGATGGGGCCGGGGCCACGAAACGCTGCGCTGGGTGAGGGAACCGCATGCGGGCACCCCCACTGGGGCCTTCGGTGGAGCTCCCTGTGGGGCCACGAAACGCTGCCCCGGGCGGGGGAACAGCCTGCGGGCACCCCCACTGGGACCTACAGCGGAGCTCCTTATAGGGGCCACGAAACGCTGCCCTGGGTGGGGGAACCGCATGTGGGCACCCCCACTGGGGCCTTCGGTGGAGCTCCCTATGGGGCCACGAAACGCTGCCCTGGGTGGGGGAACCGCATGCGGGCACCCCCACTGGGGCCTTCAGTGGAGCTCCATATGGGGCTACGAAACGCTGCACTGGGACGGGGGGTGGGCAGGAGGGGGGAAGAGGAGGAAGGAGGAAGGAGGTGGGACGCGGGGCGCTGTCTCTTCAAAACGAGGACCCAACACCACAGGATGGTTGGGAAAAACGAAGTGCACATGCGCGAGTCGTCGCGCGCGCGCATGCCGGATTCCTTGTAAAACCTTCGGTTTCGCAAAGATTGCAGATTCGAGTGCCCAAACAACATATAAACAAACACGGGTTTTTGCAACACGGGTTTTCAAGACACGTTCACGCGCACTCTTGCGAATTCGGGAGGAAAAATGTGTTCCCATAATTTCAGAAACTGCTACCAAACAGGATTCGCGCGCGCGTCGAAATCGTTCGAAAGCCCTCGCGCGCGTGCCGTCGCGAAAATACTTCGCACAGAATGGGGCGAAGTGCACGCGCGCGCGTCATCGCGCGCGCACGCCGGATCCGTCAAAAACTCTCGGTTTCGCAATCACTCCGACGGTCGGACCGCACACGATAATCGATTTAGCTTGCCCCTCGCCCTCTTCTCCGCCTGGCGAAGGTTTTCTTATGCCCCCCATCGGTCCTCCTCCTCCTCCTTCATTTCCTTTTCCTCTTCCTGTTCCTTCTCGTCCTACCCGTTGCATTTCTCATCCTCTTCCTCCTCCACTTCGCCCTCCCCCTCCGCCGCCTCCACTGTCTCCCTCTCCTCCTCATGTCCCTCCTCCTTCTCGGATTTGCCTTGCCCTCCCCCACTTCCTCCCCCCCCCCCTTTCATCGCCGCCCCGCTCGTTTTCCGCCTGCGCCCCCCCTTTCTCCCAGCAAGGGCGCGTGCGTGGATTTTCCACGGCGCCCTCGCCGCCGCGCCTAGCAGGGGCGCGTTCTCCAACGGCGAAATCGCGCGGCCGTCGGGGGCGGCCCCGCGGGTCAGGCCGCCGGGGCAACCCCGCGAGCCGCTGGCGCGCGAGACCAAGCCGCCGGGGCAACCCCGCGGGCCCCGAGCGGGGCGCCGCCGCGCTCAGGCGGGGGGCAGCACGAAGCCCAGCTCTGCGGCGAGCTGCCCCGCCTGCGCCCTGGAGCTCTCCGCTCTGACGTCGAACTCCAGGAGCGCCTTCCGCAAGGACGCCGGCCCTCGCCCCGCGAACTCTCGCAGCGGCGGCAACGGGATCAGCATGTTCCGCGCGCACGTGGCGCGGGAGAACATGACGTAGAGGTGCAGCCACCACTGCTCCTCCGACATGCCCGCGCGACCAGCGTCCTCGCCCCTCGCGCATTCGACGGCGACGCCCTTGCGCGGCGTGTGGCCCTGCGACAGCGAGGAGGTGAAGCACAACGCGCGCGTCATTGTGAACACCGAGCGGCGCACGGCGCGCGGCCCCAAGCTCTGCCACGTGAACTCCTGCTCGCTGGGTCTGAACATGAGCAAGCTCCCCGCCCGCGCCTCGGCCTCGCCGTCGTCGTCGGCGCCTTCGGCGCCCTGTGGCAGCACCTCGGCGACCTCCTGTTAGATCGGAGACTCCTTGAACCCGTGCACCTGCAGCCAGATCCCCTGCGGTACGTGGCGGGGGCGGAAAAGCTGGCCCGCTGCTCGCCCTCGGGGTGGAACCCGAAGGATACGATGGTGGCCCACTGCTCCTGCACGAGCCCAAATTTTTTCTACTTGTTCAGCTCTTCCTGCACTGCCGTGAATCGCACCTCCATGCCGGCGTGGGCCGGTAAGACGCCACGACGACAGTCACAAGCTTCCGTGACCCGCTCGGATTAAAAACATGAACGGCGGGCCCCATAGGGAGAGGGCTCCCGCCTGAGACTTCCTCGCAATTCACGCACAGACGAAGCCCCCGCCTGATACATCCTCCACATCCAGGCCGCAAAGGCCCAAATTGACGACAGTTATAAGATCCCGATGACCCGCTCCGATTTACAAACATGAGCGGCGGGCCCCATAAGGAGAGGGTTCCCGCCTGACACTTCCTCGCAATCCACTCACAGACGCGATTCCCGCCGGATACTTCCTCCATAGTCAGGCCTCAGGGGCCCAAACAAGATGACAGTTACAAGATCCCGATGACCCGCTCTGATCTCTTATATAACAAATCGGCGGGCCCCATAGGGAGAGGGTTCCCGCCTGACACTTCCTCGTAATTCAGTCACAAACGCTGTTCCCGCCTGATACGTCCTCCATACTCAAGCCTCGAAGGCCCAAAAAAAACGACTGTTACAAGATCCCCATGACCCGCTCCGATTTGAATGATATAACTGATAGTACAAAAATGTGAATACTAATAAAAAATAAAATGATAATACGAATAACCATAGCTTCTAAAAAAAATGAGCGGCGGGCCCCATAGAAAGAGGGGTCCCGCCTAACACTTCGCAATTCACTCACAGACGAAGTTCCCCGCCTGATATTTCCTCAAGTGTGGGTGTGGACGATGATGGCAATATTGATGGTGATGGTGTTCACTCACAACCGAGGCTCCTGTCTGTGACCTCGTCAAGATGAGTATGTGAATGTGTGAGTAAGTGTGTATGTGATAATGACGGGATTGACGATGGTGATGTGATACGGATGATGATGATGATGATGATGATGATGATGATGACGGTGATGATGCTGATGAGTGATGAGTACTGGTTGTGGGTGACTGAAAGAGCTGGAGGATAAAAGTGCGTGTGCGGATGTGTGAGTGATGATGATGCGGTGACGATGATGATGATTATGATGATGATGTGAATGTGTGTGTAAATAAGAAGGGAGGGGTGCTCCTGTTCCTGCGCGGGGTGTCCAGGGAAAACAAAAACTCCAATTTGGATGTGGGGAACAAGACCGAATGTCCAAAGAACATTCAAAAACAAATGGCTCCGCAACATCAGCTATCAAAAAACGTACGCTCGCGCTCTTGCGAATTATTGAGCAAAACCATCGTTGGTTTGTGTTCAACATGTTCATGTGATTCAACCAAACAGGCCTCTCGCGTCGCATGCCGACATCATTCGCACGCCCTCTGCGCGCGTGATGGCGGGGCGCGATCCGCGTCAAATCATACCATGCGGACCGCTCTCGAGGGTCGGCCGCGCGCACACGCCGAATTCGTTCCAAAACCTTCATCACCGACGCGAGGACGCCGTCATCGTCGTCGGCGTGATCAGCATCGGCGCCCGCAGTGGCCGCGCCTTCGTCGTTGTCAACATCGTCACCAACATCGCTACTATCACCATCGTGTCTACCGACGTCGACTTCGCCAAGATACCGCGCCCGCCCACGCCGCCGACTCGCAGTGAAGTGCCCGCTGGGATGTGCCCAGCGGTCAGCGCCACCGCGGCACGTCGGTCGCGCCAAACTAGCTGGCCGCTGCGCGCGCGTGTTTGGGTTGGCGCGGCCGCAGAAATGCACCTGCAAACGCCAAGCATGCATCGCAATCGCCGCCGCATGGGTTTTGCAAACCGAATTGCGGGTGGGTGGGTGGGATGGCTGCAAAAGCATGGAATACGTCAACTCGTTTGCTAAAATTAATTGCACCACATAGCCTGCACCGCATAGACTGCAAGAACCTACTGTTTGGAGTCCACGCTGGTTGACATGTTTTAAGCTCGAACTTTTCGCACGCGCCGCGACTCGAACTGTAATACAGATAATGTCGGGCTCCAGCGCCACCTCCCTCATCTCGCTGAGCAGCGACAGAGACCCCTGCCATTGCATGCAATTCGCGCACGCGCTGATAACAGCGCTGTAGCTGATAGCGTTGCGCTCCAGCTTCGCCTCCCACATCTCGCTGAACAGCGACAGAGACCCCTGCCATTGGCTGCCTTTCTCGCATGCGCTGACCCCAGCGCTATAGCTGATGACGTTGGGTTCCAGCTTTAACTCTCGCATCTCGCTGAGCAGCTCCAGAGCCCCTTGCCATTGGCTGCCTTTCTCGCACGCGCTGATTCCAGCGCTGTAGCTGATAACGTTGGGATCTAGCTTCGCTTCCCGCATCTCGGTAAGCAGCGCCACAGCCCGCTGCCACTGATCCCCCTTCCCGCACGCGCTGATCCCAGCGTTGTAGCTGAATAGTGCGAACCTTTGGATTAAATCCATGGAGTGCTAAGCCTGGGCCTCACACACCGTGGGTGAACAGTTCGTCGAAGTTGAACAGCTTGGCCCCGAACCCGCAGGAGGATGATCTTGAAAGAAACTCTGAGCTATCTCGGAGTGGTCCCTGGAGGGTTCTCGTGGCATCAACGGCTGCAAGAAGCCGGTGGTCCAGTTTCGCTGCAACTACTCACAGGAGGAGGAAGAGGAGGAGGAAGAGGAGGAGAAGCAGGAGGAGCAGGAGGAGAAGGAGGAGAAGGAGGAGGAGTACCGGCGACGGGGGGGGCCGGCTCCGAAAGGAGGAAGCCGAGGCAGAGGAGGTAGGAGAAGTTGTCGCCCCTATTCGGCGGGTTGAGGCTCGAGGCGTGCTGAGGTGCACTCGTGGGCCATCCCTTGTCTCTAACAGCCCTCTTGAGCCATTGTGCGGCCGCCTCGCGCCACAGGGGGGGGCCCTCTCAGGCCCTGCAGGGGGGCCTCCGCGCCCCGTCGTGGGGCCCTGGTGAAGGTCTGGGGCCGTGCTGGAGCTCGCTTGCGGCCTCCTGGGGCAGCTCCCAGGGCCGTCTCGGGCACCTGAGGCTCGATCAAGCCGTCTGGGGCTGGTCTTGGGGGGCGTGGTGCCCTCTTGGGCCGTCTTGGTGCGCACGTCGGGGCCACTCGAGGAGGAGGAGGAGGAGGAGGAGGAGCAAGAGGACGAGGAGGAGGAGGAGGAGGAAGAGGAGGAGCAGTGCAAATCCATGACTCATCAACGATGTTGGAAGAAATCCTTCCTCCAAGCTCCCTCTTCGCAGGCCGCTACAAGGACTCATTTCCACTGGAAGACACTTGAAAATCCTGAAGCGTGCCAAAACAACATTATCGGAGATTCCACACCACGAATCAACTTGCATGTTTCGTCTTGGCGATCCTGAATCGTGCCCGAAAACTGTTCAGAAGACTTCACCAGCGCGAATCAACGTGACTGTTGCACCCTGACAGTCCTGAACCGTTCCGAACACCATCTCCGGTATGTTAACCAGGAGAATCCGTGAAACCATTTGCACATGTTTCGAGCGAATGTGCGCGGCGCGAAAGCAAGAGTAACATTTCGAAAAGGAGCCTCCTTCAACCCGCGAAACCCTTGCAACTGTTTAAGACGAGGGTGCGCGGGGCGAAAGCCACATTTTGAAAACGGCCCGCCCTCAATCCGCGAAACGCTTGCAATGTTTTGCGACGAGGGAGCGCGGCGCTGAGGCGAGAGCCACATGTTGAAAACGGCCCGCCTCAATCCGTGAAACTCTTGCAACTGTTGAAGACGAGTGTGCGCGGCGCTAAAGCCAGAGTCACAATTTGAAAACGGCCCGCCCTCAATCCGCGAGACTCTCGCAACGTTTTGAAACGAATGTGCGCGGCGCTGAAGCGAGAGCCACATTTTGAAAACCACCCGCCCCTCATCTGCGAAATTATTGCCATCTAAAGGGTTCAGGACAAAACTAGAAAGGAAGCCTCAGGCGAAACGCCTGGCCCGCCCTTCCGGCTGGCCTCGGGGTGCGACAGGGAAGAGTTATTCATTTTATATATAAAAAAAAGGAGGCAACAAAAAAACAGGAGGAGGAGGAGAAAGAGGGGGAGGAGGAGGGGGAGGAGGGGGAGGAGTAGGAGGAGGAGGAGGAGGAGGAGGAGGAGGAGGAGGGGCAGGAGGAAGACAGGGTTCACGGCGAGGACGAGGACGAGGGGCACGAGGACGAGGGGCACGAGGAGGACGAGGGGGTAAGGACGAGGAGGACAGGGCGGAGCTATTCATAAGGAAAAAGGAACGGAGGAGGAGGAGGAGGAGGAGGAGGAGGAAGAGGAGGAGGAGATGCCAGGAAAAGGAGGGCTTGGCTCCGAAAGGATGAATCCGAGGCATGCGGCCTCTTGGGCCATCTTGGGGCCCGGGTGGGGGTTTGGGGGGCGCCCTGCCCTGGGCACCCCGCGCGGGCCCTCCCGTGCAGCTCCCGGGGCCCTCTCGGGGAACCACTCGAGGTTGCACGCAGCTCTCCGAGGCCCGCTCTGGGCCGTCTTGGGGCCCTCACGGACCGTCTTTCGGGGGCGGCCAAGAAGGGGGGTGTCCAAGAGGCGGGGGTGCAAATCATGGCCGGCGGCATGTGCGCGGCCCCAGGGGGGGGCCAGGAACGTAATGAGATAAGAAGAGGCGCCATGAAATCTGAGGAAAAATCATTGCCCGCGCCATGAAATCCACCCCCCCCTAGTCATCACCCCCCTCTTTGCCGCCCCCGAGTCTTGGTGGGCTCATGAAGGCCTCCTGGGCCACTTTGATGCGATCCTGACAGGACCCGGAGCCGAGCGGGGCCGCTCTGGGCCCGTCAGGGGAAGAACGTGGAAGACCTCCTGCAACAGCATGGGTGTCGTTTTTTGGCGGGGGACTCGGGGGACCGTCATCGGGGTCCTCCTGGGCCCTCGTGGGCCGTCCCGGGTGCCTATTGGGTCATCTTGTGGCCAGGGTGGGGGCCTGGAGCCGCCTGGAAGCCCGGCGCGGGCCCTCTTGTGCAGTTCCCGGGGCCCTCTTGGGGCGCCCCAGGGGCCCCGAGGGCGCTCGCGGCGCCCCGGGGCCGCTCGGGCGCTCGGGGGCGGCTTTTTCACCAAACAACACCTTTTCTTGGTTGTGCGCAGAGAGGTGTGGGGGGGAGGGGGGGAGGCTTCTTAGAAGGAGGCTGCTTCTTGGAAGACGCGGGCCTACAGACAAGGCCCACACCTTCTAAGAAGCAGGGGTGCTTCTAAGGAGCCCTCCCCCCTCCCCCATACCCCCCTCTGCGCGTGGCCGATTCTCGCACGCGCCACGCCCAGAAGTGTAGGTTCGATGACTGTGGGCTCCAGCTTCGCCTCCTCCGTGTCGCTCAGCAGCGCCAAAGCCCGCTGCCACTGCCCACACTTTTCGCACGCACTGATCCCAGCGTTGTAGCTGACCAGGGCTGACCCGCGGCCTTCCGGCCGCGGGATCTGCCCGCCATGGCGTGGACGTGGAAGTGGAGCGTCTCCGGGGCCTCGCGGGGGGGGAGGTTGGAGGGGACGGCGTGGATGGAGGAGGTGGCCGCTGGAGGGGGAGGTGGGCGAGGGATGCAGGCAAGCAGGCCTGAAGGCAGGAACGCGGTGGTGGAGGCGGTGTCAATGGAAGCACACCCATGTAGGCACGACAAAGTGTGGACGGAGGCTGTTTCTCACGCCGCGCTCTGTGTTCATCATAGCTTCGGCGGGGCGGGTCGCCCTGATACAACCCCTTTTGGCACACGCAACGGCCAGAACTGTAGTACAGACAAGTGTGCCCCCGTGGGGCAGATCCACGTGTGCCCTGGCAGGGGAACGCGGCGACCCCTCCCTGGGCCATCCTGGGTTGCCTTGGCCAGCTCTTGGGCCGGAGGCCGCCCCAGAAACCGACCCCAGATGGCACCCAGGAGGCCTTCGGGGGCAGCCCCGGCGAGCGGGAGCCATGCGAGGAAACAGGGCCGCACCGTCCCTCGCCTGGCTTTGGCTTCCGGGCGCAGGCAGGGCCCCCGGGCCGCCCCGGCAGGACCTGGGACCGCCTCCAGATGGCACCTCGGGGGCCTCCTGGCCCAGCCTTGGACAGTCTCGGGGCCCTCGGGGACCCAAAAGTCGGGCATGCTCGAAGTGCAAGGAAACCCTGCAGAAGACACCACATCTGTAAACCGGAAGGCCCTGCTGGGCGCACTCCCGGCCCAAGAGGCTTCCAAGAAAGTATTGCGGCCGTCTGGAGGCCGTCTTGTGCTGTCTTGGGCCCTCTGAGGCCGTCTGGACGCCATCTTGGGCCATCTCGAGGCCGTCCTCGGTCGTGTCGGAGGCATCTTCGGCAACTTTGGAGGCCTCATGGTCTGGCTCGGGCCGTTTGGGAGGCGAAGGCCCTCCCGGCAGGCCCTCCCGGCAAGCGCCCCCCCCGGCGCTGCCACCAGAGCAACGCACAACGCGCTGCTCCCAGTATTGTAGGATAGACCAGGGCCGACCCATGGCCTACCGAGCACGAAATCTGTCCGAGATGGCACGTTGGACCAAGGCAAAGATGTTGCCGGAAGGCTCTCGTGATGACGTTGGGCCCGAACTTCGTCTTTGCTGTTGCAGCCTGCAGCTACAGGGTGATGCTGCCTGCGGCATGTCGTTGCTGCTTACTCTTGCTGTTCTGCCGTTGCCTGCTGCGGACCGCTGGTGTTCTGCTTGAGGACTGCAGGGCGCTGCTGCCTGTCGCCCTTGCTGGATGATGCAACCTGCAGCTCGAGAGTGGCTCGAGGGGCGAGGAGCAGGGCGCGAGGAGTCAGGGTCAAGGATGGGGGAGGCGAGGAGCGATCAGCGAGTTGCACAGAGCGAGAGGGGAGGAGCGACGGCGGAGGAGAGAGAGAGAGAGAAGGAAACAAAAAAAAAAAGGCGAGGAGGGACGAGGGGGAGCCGGAGAGGAGGGGGAGGCAGATGCCGGCAGGCCAGGAGGGAGGAGGGAGGGGCCAGGAGAGAGGTGGAAAGAGCGATGTGGAGTGAGACGAGAGGAGCCAGGAGCGAGAATGCAGGCATGAGAAGAGGCCAGCACACACATGTCTCCTCTTGGGTCGCTCACGCTCATGGGGCTCTCTTGGGTGGCCGGCGCGGTCACAGAGCTCTCTAAGGGATCTTCTCTGGGAAACCTGTTCGAGGCGGTTGACCTTGTGTTTGGGGCCTCTCTGGGCCCTCTTGGGGGCCTCTAGAGGCCTGATCTGGGCGTCTTGGAGGCCTTCTTGGGCTGCTGAGGGGTCTATTGCAATAGACCCCTACCTACCCCTACCTATTGCGGACTCTTCCTGTTGCGGACTCTTCGGGGCGCCGGGGGCAACGCGCGAAATAATTGGGCCTGGCGGGGGGGGGGGCGGAGCGGGGGACGCGACGAGCATGAGTAGGGGGCTTTCGCGGGGGGGCCGGGCAGGGCCCGAGGCGGACAGCTCGAACGAGCGAGCGCGACCCAAT